AACTGGCCAAGAGCCACGTGTAGAAACTTCCCATTTTTCCTGCAGAGGCCGGCTCAACTATCTAGCTTCCTGCTATCCTTGTTCTTCAGATTAAGTTCAGATTCCATTTACTTCTTAAAATACAACTCAACCAAACGACATGGACAGTAAGATCAGTGGCTGTTGGGGTCTGGATGGGGGAGGGATGAACAAGCAGGGCACAGGGATTGTCAGGGCACTGAAACGGTGAAACTCTTCTGTCTGATACTATAATGGTGGACGAACACCATCCATTTGTCAAAACCCACACAATGTACAATACAAAGAGTGACCTCTCATGTAACTACGGACTTGCATTAACAATAATGTATCAATACTCATCAAGTGTTCAAATTGATCAATTGCAACAAATATAGCACACTCTGGCAAGAGTTAATAATAGGGGAACTGTGCTACTGGGAGAGAGAACTCTTTGTACTTTCTGTGCAATTTTTCGGTATACTTAAAAGTTTTCTAAAACAACGTCTCAGAAACCAAAAAAATTTAAATACTACTAGACGCTAAATTTCAGTTGAAAGAATGAAAACCAGAGCAGGCTGCCACCTGATCATTACAGACATGCTGCACACCCTTACAACGTGAAGATGTGCCCCCAGGCGCTCATGAACTAGCCCCAGGGGCCCCGGGCCGGCATGGGGGTTAAGGTTAAGGATCATGGCCCGACAGGACCCAGGTGAGCTGACGGTCAGAGAGAGGCGACACTGTCAGCACTGCCTCCTCGTTCCTTTTGTTGGCTCCGCTGACTCTGTTTGTTTGATTCTGTTTTGAAGTTGTCCCCTACCATGGCAATCAGAAACCAGGCACCACAGGGAGAATTTCCAGCAAAGAGGGGTTTATGACAGACCCAGGTGTTTGCTAAGGCACCAGAGCTGAGCTAGGGAGCTGGGGGCAGGCTGCAGGGACGACCCCAGGGCTCCATCCAGGCACTGAACTCTGTGTCCACCGCCCTGCCCCACGACACCCTCAAAGAGAGAATGTGACATCCAGCCTCAGGTGCCGTGGACACGGCACCTCTGCTGGGAGAAACCGTCCCGTTGCCACGATCATGGGGCCTGCTCACGCTCACTAATCAATCACTCAGGGCGCTCTTTCCCACTGAACCTGGAGCAGGTTCTCAACCCAACAGTAAAGCAGCCAGTCAACTGGCAAAACACAAACTTACTGCCACCCATTCATCAGACCAACCAGCAGTGAAGGGGCTGAATTTAGAGGACATGAATTTATAAGGAGCCAATTCACGAGGTAAGCTGCTCTACAAATGCCCTGTAGCTTGGGAACAGAAGTAGAAAATCAGAAACTGGGAATGGACAATGTCACCAAGATCAAAGGGGAGAGGAGACAAGATTTAGGGTCAGCGGAGTCATAACGAGAAGAATCGACGGACTGAAGGGAAGGAGCAACTCAAGGAGGCTACGAGGAATGTCTGACCCACGTGCATGAGACTCAGGAGCAGCAGGTACGGGTGAGAGTAGCTAGGAAGAAAACGGGCTTCCGCAGGCAGCCTGTCGACCTTCTGTTTCCCGCAGTCACACTCACGCTGCTTGAACTAACTGGTCTTTAAACCCACTCGGGGAAGAATAATGCTCTGCATTTTCAGTTTATCAGTGTAAGTCCCTGTAGGAACGCAAGCTCATCTACTTGGCGAGAAGTATGAACGGCATACCCCAAAAGGTGACTGAAAGAGTAATTTAAAAAAGTTGACAGGACTTATTTAATCTGAGGGTCTCAGGAGTACAGGGCACAGAGATGAAGGAAAAGACCACTCCCACTTACTTATAAACCAGAACGACGCATGCGAGTTAGTTATCTCAGAGGAATAACAAGACAAACCAGAAATAGACACCTTTAGAAGTAATGCAGAATTCCCGAGCTTCTAGGGTGCTCACGATTTGGGGAGAATTCTCTTAAATCTTAAGTATTCACGTTTATTTCTTGTTAGTTACCTGAAGGTCCCATGAAAGCTGGCCCGTCTTGCACTCACCTCCTTCTGACGCCCCACAAAACGAATCCTCCTGTAGTCTTGCTCATCGTAAACCTGAAAAGACAGGACCACGCGACTTCACAGCCCGGTTCTGGAGCCGGCCAACAGTACCGACCGCAGACGTCACGGGGACGCGCTTTCCTGACGTCTGGGCCGCTCGGGAGGGACACACGAGGGCAGGGGACCCTGAGCGGACGCCCGTGAGGACCGGACAGGTTCGGGGAGCCGCCCGGCCGCCCCAGGTGGGCGCGTTCTCCGCCCGGGGGGTTACCTGGCCGGTGTGCGTGACCTTCTCCCCGGTCGGCGAGGTCCGCACCCCGAAGCACCTGGTGCCCCCGGGCAGGCTCAGCGCCGCCCCTCCGCCACGGCGCAGCAGCCGGAGGAAGGTCACTGCCGCCGCCATCTTGCGGGCTGACCCTTGACCCGACGCGCCGAGCGCCCACGCATGCGCACAGCTTCCGCAGGGCCCCGCGCGGCCGTGACCTATCTCGCGCCGGGGAGACGCGCACGCGCGCTGCGGTCGGGCAGGTGCGGCGGCAGGTTCCGGCTCAGCTGGGATAACGGGAAAAATGGCACTCAATTTTAGCGCTTAGGGGCTGCTCTGTCATCCTTACCAGAGGGAGGGCGGGAGAGGATGGAAAGTGAAAATGAATTCTTTACACTCGATAGTAATCGATAGTCATGGGGGTCTCATAGCGAATGTTTTTATTGCGGAAGGGCCCTTAATCAGAGAGGAAACTGGCAGTACATTCACGTTGCGGGGTGCGCATTTCTGTGTGGCGCGGGGACAGCGGGTTTGGGGACTTCTGCAGCAGAGCCCAATGAAGCTAGCTAATTGTAGAGCGCACTCGATGTCACCTCATCCCCCCCGCAGACTAGCCCCCAAAGGCCCGCTGCCCTACAGCTCACCTGGGCAGGACGCGGCTCGCGGTCCCGGCGTCCCCATCTCCTGCCTCCTCTAAACTGCCTGTGCAGAGACCCATCGGGAGGGTCAGCTCACGCGGCGCCAGCCCCCGGATGGGCGGTGGGCGCGGGGGGCAGGCTCAGAGCTCAGAGCTGGTGGCGGCGCGTACCCACAGCCTGGACTCCGGGGAGGTGGAGGCAGGCGAGGTGATGAGAGGCGCCATGCACTGAAAACCTCTCGAAACGTAAAGGTGCCCACGGACGGGTGCTCAGAGGCGGCCCGGAGCTCACCTGGGCAGGTGCAAGAGCGAGCTGCAGTGTCGGCGGGCGCGCGGGTGTCCCGTCTGCAGCTTGCCTTCGTGTGCACGGATGGCAGATTGGGGGGGGGGGGGGGGGGGCGGGTGCCCCGTTTGCGGTTTCCCTTCGGGGGGCAGGGGGGGAGGATGGGGGGGGGGGGGTCGCGGACACATCCACGGAAAGGCAGGCGTAGCGAGTTAATTGTGGAATCTGGGTGGTGGGTATATATGGATGTTCGCCGTAAACGTCTTCCAACTTTTCTCTCCGTTTGAAAATTTTCATAATAGAATTTTGGAAGGGAAACAAAAAAAAAGAGTAACTGGAACCAGTTAGGTCCGCTGTCCATTTCCACTTGTTTCCCTGAGCCTCGTCACATTTCTCCAGGGTGTCCGTTAATGCAAGCATGCGTTTTTTCTAGATTTTGTTTGGACGTTGGTATTTGTCCGTTTTTAAAAATGTCTAATTGGTCGTGATTTCTTTTTCATTCTAGATATCCATTTTCGTTTCCATTTTCCCATCCCCTCCTAGAAGGACCCCCCAAACCGTAGGCGCCCCGTGGCGGGGAGCGTCCCTGGCTGGGGGCGCGGTAGCCCCGGGAGAGGAAGACTGCGGGTGGGGAGGGGGCCAGGCGCCCTCGGACTCCCGCGGCCACGTGGTTCCACTTCTGCGCCGGGCACCCCGACGCCGTCACGTGACCCTGCCGCCATATTCCTTTCTGGCAGACACTCGGAGTACCTGCCCCATGGCGTCTCCGCCACACGGCGCAGGCGCGGGCGCAGGCGCAGGCGCGAGGTGAAGCGCGCTGCCGGCCGCCCCGGCGGCTTCTTCCCAGGTCGGGGGTCCCGGGAGTCCCCAGAAGCTGAGGCCCGGGAGGTGGTGGGGCGCGGGGCCTTTGGACTCCCCTGAAGCTGCTGGCCCGGTCGGGGCTGCAGGAGGGGCGGCCGAGGACCCTCGGCTTCAGTTTCCCCGAGTGGGCCGGGTCGGAGGTCGCGGGCGAGGGTTGGGGGTCTCGGGCACTGAGGGGGACGGGGGCGGTCGGTCCTTCGGCCCGGGCTGCGGGTCTGTCCGGCGGGCGCCCTGACCTCGCGGGCGGTGGGCCGGCCGGGCGACCCTCGGGGTGGGGGGTCGGCGGGGTCACCTCGCTGCCCGGTCCTCCCGGTGGGGCTGACCCGGCGCCCCCGCGCGCAGTGGCCCCTCCGGAAGCGCGGCCGCCCGCGTTCTGAAGGCGGCTCCCCAGGGGCCGTCGGTCCGTGTCGGGCACTCCCGGGGCCCCGTGCTCTCTGCTCCCAGACCAGGCGGCTGCCCCGCGTCCTGTCCTGCATGAAGCCCGAAAGGGGTCGGGGCGCACGGAGGGCCGGGGTCTGCTGCTCGCGGCTGGTGCGGCGACCGCACGTGTGAGGATGGGGACCACCCCCCGTCCACACGGGGCCCAGGGCAGGGGGCCGGGCTTAGCCGCTGCCTTCTTCTTACCGCGCAGGGCGGGTCAGCTAACCCCCGACCGGGTGTAATGAGTTCAGAGGGAGGGCCGTGGGCGCGGTTGGGGCCTCGCGTCCTCGTTCGCGCCTCCACGAGGGGCGGTGAGTGCAGCGCCTCCCTGATCCTCCTGTTCTGGCACAGGGGGCTGAGGACTGCGGTCGTGAACCCAGGGGGTTGACTCTGCGGCTGGTAAGCGGGAGCCCCCGAGCCCACTGCCCTGTGTTCCTCAGCCACAGTGAAGGAGGGAGAAGGAAGTTGGAGATAGTGGGCAGACGTGCAGAAGAAGCTATAACGCTTTTCTTTCCTCCGTAGATTCAGCCACAACATGGCAGGTGTCTTTATGAGGAGGATGGTGGTCTCCGCCGTGTGCCCTCTCCTGCGTCTGAGCCCCTGCACAGCGGAACCGCGCGCGCTCTCCACGCTCCTGCTGGGACCCCTTGGCGCTGCAGTCCCGGTTGGGGCGAAGCCCAGAGCAGCCGTGGCCTCGCTTCTGTCCAGTCGCCTCGCGCCGATCCTGCCCCCTGCTCTGGGGTTCAAGACCAAGGGCGTCATTAAGAAGCGCTGCAAGGACTGTTACAAGGTGAAGAGGCGCGGGCGGTGGTTCATCTACTGCAAAACCAACCCGAAGCACAAGCAGAGGCAGATGTAGCTCCTTTGGCTGCGAATAATGTGCAAAAGTGTATTATTTGCTTGGGAGACAGTGTTACCTTACTGAAAGAAAAATAAAGTGTAAAAGTTCTGTGGTCTAATGTGTTGACCTTCAGGTTCTGTTGGCCCTGCCCAGGCACCTCAGCTCTGTAGAGCAGCCCAGATCCAGGCCAGCCAGAGCCCAACGGGGAAACGAATCATTTTTATCTTCTGTGCAATGTGTTTGTGCCCGAGCCGGAGAACAGAAGATAGGATGGAGGGAAAGCTGGTTTTGTCCCCAACATCAGAGTGCAAGTTCTTTAGAAAGAACTAGATTCTATCTGAAAGGCCATCCTGTGGGTGCCTCTCAGCCCCGTGTCTGCATTCGCCCATACTGCTTCGATTACCTGGATGAAACTTGTCTCAACATTCTTGAGGATGAGCACGAAGGGCCTTGATAGCAATCTTTAAATCAAGGAAAGTTGAATTGTTTATGTATAAAGGTATTTTGGTTATCAATTAAATATGTTTGTCATCCTTGGTCTGCAGCATCAGTGCAGATGTATGTGCACACATGTGCATACATGTGTACATGTGTTCATGTATGTATTTGTGATGGGTGCATGTGTGTGTACATGTGTGATGTGTGTGCGTGTGCACATGCCCCCACCCAAGGGTGTGTACTGAGTCAGCAGAGCAGCCATGGTGACCCTCTGCAGACTGGCCTGGAGCCAGTGGCCCTCGGTGTCCTGTGTCTGCCGTCACAGGTGGTCGCCTCACCCACCTGGTTTGAGCACCACACCATGCCCAGATGGCCCTCCCACCAAGGTCACATACTGACACTTGCTGAGTGCCCGATGGAGCCAGGCCCTGCCATGCAGAGAAAAGAAGAGTGTGGAGCCTGCCCTGGCACCCTTCCTGTCCAGGCTGTGGCCGGAGCGGGTTAAACCGGGAAGGATGGTAGAGGGTGGTGAGTGTTAGTGAGCAGGATGTGCAGGGAAGGCCGGGCAGAGGGACCCAGCCTCCTCGGGCCGGGCTGCTCCCTGGGGAGGTTGCATTGAGGCTGAGGGCTGAAGGACGAGAGGATAAGGTGCAGGGGTGGCACACGGGCTGGAGGAGCCGAGTGACCCCCAGCACCAGGAGACCTGGGCGATTCCCCAGCACATAAGGTGGCTCAGTGTGCTACTCAGGCACCGTGCGCACCAGCACGCACCCCAGTCCTGGCCTCAGGGAGCCTGACCAGGACCTGCACAAGCACAACCACACTGTAGAGCACAGGGTCAGCTAAGGGGGAAAGATGGAAAGGCCCCTTCGTGGAGCACTGTATCTCGGGAAGAGGTGGCACTCGGCTAGTCCTGCTGGAGACCTTTCTTCCCCTTCACAGCTTAGGGACGCCTAGGCCACCCTGCCCTTTCAGTACAGCCAGGCCTCGTGGAAGCCACAGTGCATAGTAGATTTGCAACAAAATGTGTTTTATTTGAATTGAACTGTGTGAATGGGATTCAGATGTTCTGAGGGTAGTAATTTCGTATCTAGGTTTCGGTCCCAGAACTGAAATAGTTCTGTGCCATTAGGAGAAAGTCTCTCCCCCTCAGCCCTGCGGACATTCTGGGCTGGTCGTTCTCTCTCGGGGGCCGTCTTGGGCACTGTGGGGTGTTGAGCAGCATCCCTGGCCCCACCCACTCGATGCCAGGAGCACCTCTACCCCGGGCTGTGACAACCACAGCTGTCTCCAGACACCAACAGATACCCCCAGGGGGCCCATCCGCCAGGTGAGAACCACCATATTAGGCAGATCGCTCACCTCCTCTGGCCTAGGATTTTCCCAAGGACATGGGACTAGTGTTGCCTGTGTTGTTGTCCTGAGGTGGCAAGGACTGGGATGCAGGTGGTCCATTTGGGAGGTGATTCAGAGCCCAGGTGGGGGAGTGGGGAAGCTGGGACAGAGGAGAGGGGTGAGGTGTGCAGACAAGAGGGCACCTCGGGGCACCAGGCTCCATCATGCCGGGTCCTCTGAGCACCCATGTGGAATGGGCCCCACCTGTCCTGCCAGGGGAGGGGACAGTTGGGCTGTTTATCCACAGATTCCTGTTACTCATGGTCTAAGGTCACCCTGTTGGGGGCCACATCCCCAGCACTTACAAGCTGCCCAGAGGCGGGGTGAGCAAGCCCCCAGGGCCCAGAGAAAGCCCTGTGCAGAGAGCAGAGGGACACAGGGGCTTTAGGGGCAAGCTCATCCAGCTCAGGAGCTGTCCTCTGCAGCTGCTGACCTAGAGGTAGGCAAGGGCTTGGGCGGGGCCCACATCACCTGCCACATGTCCCCCCTGTCTCCTGACACAGTGAGCAATGGATAGAAAATACTGTGGAAAGCAAGAAGCACTGTTTCAGCCCACGTTACTACGATTGTCCGCTCAAGGGGCATGGACTGCAGTCAGCTGGAGACAGCAGTGTGAACAAAGGAAAATAGTCACCACAGGCAGACATCAGAGCATACCGTATTTCCAAGCCTGTCTGCTGAGACATGACAGGATGATGAGGGAATGGGAACAGACCCTCTCCTGGGTGACAGGAGTCACGTGTGCACACAGGTGCATCTTTTCACGAGAAAGCAGGGGTGTGTGTGACTTGAGTCTGACTTGATAGGCCCTCTGTGTCAGGTCTGACGTGATGATGTCATCAGAACTTACAGGGCAACTCTAACCCGCAGAGAAGAAGAGTGGACGTTACAGGCCTCACAGCGTTTCCAGCTCTCCTTCCTCCGGACCTGTGAGGGATTACACTTGCCTGCCCCCTTGAAGTGGGTCATGGCTCTGTGACTTGCTTTACACTATAGAATGTGAGCAGAAGGGATGTTGTTTTTCAGCAGAGACTTAAGATTTGGGGCACGGTTCTCTTTGTCGCTCTCATTCCACGATCACGGGAAGCAATCTTGAGGTGGAGGTGTCCGAAGACCCAAACAGGCTGCAGTGCCAAGCAGCCACTTGGGGACAGTTTCCCTGGCAGCTACCCAGACACACCGTGGGCTGTGTGATCAAGAGGCCCCTTCCGTGGTGTTTAGACAGACCTTAGAGGTGTCGTCACAGCAGTGTGGCTGGCCCATGCTGACCCATGCAAGGGGAGCCGTGGGGAAAGCAGGGAGGCCCCACGCCCGGTCTGGCTCCCGGTTCTGCTTGTTCCTCGGAGTTGGGCCTTGCACCAGAAACTTCCCTGAAGCCTCCTGTTTAAAGGGGGCTGATAGTACCCGCCTCCCCTCCAGGTTCTGAGAACCCCAAGGCCAGGTTAGGCAGCCCTGCTTCCTCAGTCATGCTCTGCCCTTAGCGTCTGTCTGCCACAGGGCCTGGTGCATAGAAGGCACTCAGCAAATGATGTGGAACCAATGACGACGCCTCCTGTGAGCAGGCAGCCCCTTATCCTCTCCACCCGCTCAGAGCCCACTCATCCTACAAGGCCACGCCCAGGACATTGCTCCGAAGAACTGGCTGACTGGTCCTGTCCCAGGGACCGAACACCTCCAGTACGGATGGAGAAGTTTGACGCTGGTCTTGTCTAGGTCTCTAGTGGTTTCACACATGAATGAACATGCACACACACGCATGTACACACACATACACTACACACATGTGCCTCTTCTTGTCAGGTAAGTGTGACCGTTTTGCTCGCCTTGAGCTTCTGGCTCTGCACGGGGCACATAGCACCTTGTCACACATCCGCGTGAGTGAGTCTATGGAGACATTCGAGGTACAGGAGTCAGGGGTGTACTGAAGCAATGACTCCACGGAACCTGTGGTTACAGCTGACAAGCTGGAATCCTAACAGGGCGTTGATGAACTCCCACCGTCCCTCTTCCCTGGGATTATCAGTCTCCGTTTGATCTGAGGTCACAGCAAGTGTGTTGATCAAACCCTCTTACATCGACTTCCCAAAATCCAGATGGACCAGCATTTATAGCCCAAGATTCCAGCATCACAGAAAAATGTGTTTAGGTCAGGATGCAGCAAACTACAGCCCAGAGGCCAAACCTAGCCCCCTACCCATGTTTGTAAATAAAGTTTTATTGTAAAACAGCCATGCTCATTCATTTATGTGTTGTCAGTGCCTCCACAATAGCCATCGTAGTAGTGGGGTAGTTGCAACAAAGACTGTATGGCCTGAAAAACCTGAAATATTTACTACCTGGACTATATTTGTAGAAAAAGTGTGCCACTCCCTTCTTTAGATCATCCAATAAGTCCCTTATCTTATCCTGGGATTTGACTTCACCATGACCATAAGCTACCATAAACAGTCCGTGGTTTCTCCACCACCCACACAGAGAGAGGGATCTTTGTGTTTGTCTGCACTAGCTACGAACGATAGAAATTGAGATAAAAAGTACTACTTATAGGGGCTGGCCCTGTGGCTTGGCGGTTAAGTGCACGCGCTCTGCTACTGGCGGCCTGGGTTTGGATCCCGGGCGCGCACCGATGCACCGCTTGTCCGGCCATGCTGAGGCCGCGTCCCACATACAGCAACTAGAAGGACGTGCAGCTATGACACAGAACTATCTACTGGGACTTTGGGGGGAAAAAAGGAGGAGGATTGGCAATAGATGTTAGCTCAGAGCCAGTCTTCCTCAGCAAAAAAGAGGAGGATTAGCACGGATGTTAGCTCAGGGCCGATCTTCCTCACAAAAAAAAAAAAGTACTACTTACAACAGCACTAAAACCATGAAATATTTACACGTCAATCTGACAAAGCTTATGCACGTTCTGTGTACTGAAAATTGCAAAACATGCTGAAAGAATTTTAATAAGATCTAATAAATATTGAGATACACCATGTTTATCGATTAGAAGACTTGATATTATTGTCAATTTCTCTCCAAAATTGTCTATAGACTCAATACAATCTCAGTGAAAAGCCCAGCAGGAATTTTTGTAGAAAGATGCTATAGTTATTCAAAATTTTATATGGGAAGGCAAAGAGAGTAAATGGCCAGAAGACTTCTGAAAATGAAGGAAGATGTTGGAGGACTCGCAGTCCTGATTTCAGGGCTGACCGTAAAACCACAGCAGTGAAAACAC